GGCTGAGGCAGGAGGCTGAAGCATAGGAAGTCCAGCTTAAGTCCAGGAGTTCAGGGCTACTCTGGTCAACACAGTGAAAAAGTCAATGACCAAGAAGAAAATTTCTGATCCTTACCAGAAATTTCACAGTTCTTAACAGTTCACAGTTCTTAACAGCATTATATTTGTAATTAATAAAACAAAAGTTATTTATTAAGGAGCTAAACTCTAATAGATGCAACATAGGATAGAAAGGCAGATGAAAGAGAAACAAAACTGTAACTTCTGCAAAACCATCAAAACTACGTAAATTCAAAATTTCATGTCAATTCCTCAGGAATCTAAGAGTGATACATATTCTGGGCTATGGCAAATCAGCTGATTATGTCACTGGAACATCCTGGTATCATTTAAAGTAATAAAACAACAATGCAGAACACAGCTTTACTCTATCCTTCCTAATTATAAAAACACACAAGAAATTTAAGTCATCTTACGATAGTACCGCAGCTCATTAAGAAGCCTGCTCAATACAATAGCATAGGAAAAAATTCAAATGCCAAAACATTAACAACTTTTATGTACAATAACAAGAAATCAGAAATTATCTAAAAAAAAATTTTATATGATAGCCTACAAGAAATCAAGTTGTCAGATATACACAACTGAAATTCTAGTAAGTGCACATACACGTCTGTGTGTGTGTAAGAAAAGACAGAGAAAGAATAAAAAGAAAGGAAAATGAGGGAGGAGGATATCTAGCAGCCAAAGTTAACTACTATTTTAGTGTCAGCAAAGGGGGCCAGTTTATCAATTATCATTTCCATACCTACTTTTTGGTATTTCTGGGTATCCACTGACAAATAAAAGAATACTAAAATATGGTTTGTTTTCAACTCTCTTATCCAGTATTTGTTAAATAGTTCTCAAAAACAATTTCAGAATAAAAAATACGAATAAGGAAGACAGGCAAATGTGATGATTAGGAAAAGACAATGAGGCAGTGAGACAACACTGGGACCCTGAGGACAAAGTAGGTTTGAGGGGAAGAGGAGAACTGAGTCTTTGGGTCTGTGTGCAATCACCGCAAGCGAAAACAGTTCTCAGAATGAAAATGAGAAAGCAAACCTAAGGAACAGCTGTAAGTAAGAAACAAACATGCAGAACACCCAAGGAGAGCTGCCTGGAAGTCCCCACTTGTAGAAGGCAGGGAGAAGACATCTCTTAACATTCTACAGCTCTTCAAGGGCTGACTATAACTTCAGATTATGTGAATTGACTTATAATATAATTACAGAAGGTTTCTGAGACGGCCCAAGTTACTGAAAAGTGTTTAATTACTCCAACTCAACCCCCCAGTAGGACACTGCTAAATATGATAATTTTAATTAGGTATTTTTTAGTACCTAAAAGCTAAAATAACTGATCACTTGTAAGTTCTCATCTTCCTTGACTCCCAACCACATATTTGAGTCTACAGATCACAGGCTCTCAAGTAACTCCTTCTCCCTTTGTCTACTCCCAGCCAATTCTCAGGTTCTCCTGTTTTGGTTTCTCTTTCTATGTTAACTAGTTTCTCTCTCCAGAACTATCTGGGAACAAGTTCTTCATAAAATTCCACCATAGCTGTTATCTATACAAATTAGTTCTTCAACAGGCAACCAGGAATCTAATCCTCCCGTGCTTTTGGCATGCAGTAAATGTTATGTTCCTTTCCTTGATCAAAACAAAAAAAGATTTTAAACTTCAGAGATCATCCCTGGTACTTCTGTTTTTGTTTTATTCACAGAACAAAATAACTGATTTACTTTTGGCTATTCATATATAGATATGGCCCCCAAAGAATTTTCACAATAAATTTTTAAAAACTTTGTATTTCTACAAGCAACAAGATCATTCGGTTTTCAAAAATACACACACGTACACTCACAGCTTTAAGTTTCCCAGCCTGTTTGTCTTCCATTGCTGAAAGGTGGATTTTAACATACTTTTCCAGGGGTAGGAATGTGGGGGTGGGGTGGGGGGAACAGTGTCACGTTATGTAGTGCAGGCTGGCAGCCTCCTTCCTGTCTCAGCCTTGAACTCTAGATGTGTAGGCTGGGTTGGCCTCCTCCCATCTCAGCCTCCTAAGATTACATGTATGCACCACCACATCCCATTAAAACTTTTTTGGGCATGAAACTTCTGTCACACAACTACAAAGTCCAGTCACATTGAAGTAGAATATAAATTGTCTAAGAGATCATCAATGGCAGTTTTGCCCCTTAAATATGATTGCGATTATATTCTTACCTGCAAATTAAAACTCAAATACTCTATTATACATTTGTTTCCTCTCAAGTATACATTCAATTGTATTCTATTCATTTCAGTATTTGCAGTGTTTCTTTAAAGTACTCAATTGCCACATTTATAGGAAAACTAAGATGGATTAATATACTATATTGAAAAACTATTAAGCTCTTAATAGAAACTATTAAAATATCAAAAAGTAAGCAAATATCAACTTTCTAAAAAAAATTTAAGGTTCCCTTTATATTCTTTCCACATATTAGTCTGCAAAAAGTCCAACAAGGTTCATAAAATTTTATGGAATGTGACCCTACACCATTTGTAAGGGAATAAACAGCAGTGACAAGGACCAGTATTAATTAGAATTTAGCACAACATGGCAAAGTGTCTAGTGCAACCTCTCACCCTTTCTTAAAGGCATGACATCAGGAAGTTTAGTATTTTAATAATGTACCACCAGAAACCTCCTCTACAAAGAGCATGGTCAAGTGTGGGAGGATACAGCTGTAATCACAGCTACTCAGGAAGAGGATCAAAGTTCAAAGCCAGCATGGACAACTGAGGGAAACCCTATCTCAAAAACAGAATAGAAAACATAAAATGAGTCTAGGGAGCAGCTCAATGGTGGAGTGCTTGTCTATAACGCACAAGGACAGGAGTTTACTCTCCAGGACCACAACAGCAGAAGACAGAGGATGATTACTGACCCTTTAGACTATCTTCAATGCACGTGATTATATTCATGTCTGTCTTTGTAAAAAAAAAAAGAAAACATTTTCAAAGAAAGAAAAGGAGGATCAATTTTGTAAGACAGCTTTTTATTAACAGGAGACAGCAAAGGCTGAGTAGAAAACACAGGTTCTTAAACTAACCACCACCTGAGGCTAAACAGGCAAGACTTCTAAAAAGCAGTGAGATTTGTGTGGTTTATTGTTTGAGAACATGTTTATTAACGCACACAATGGGGAGAAGGCTACTTATGTTGCTGTTGTGAGGAAGTTATAAAAGGATATTACCAAGAACGATAATGAAAGTGTCACAATGTTTTTGATTCCTTTTGAAGCACAGGTCCCAAATGCTACACAATATCCTAATAATTCAGGCTGTGTTTAGAATCAGTCTGTTGTTTGTGATTAATGTACCCAGTTCTGTTTTCCCTGGAAGCTCACACCAAGATGAACAACGGTATATTTTTAATAAATACACATACAAGTTACTGATTAATCAACAAAAGCCCGCAGCTCTTCTGTGGCCCAAAATACAAAATGTAACAGAGATTTGCTAGCTTTGCCTTAACAATTCTTCCACAACCAGTTTAACTCTCTGGTTTACTTATCAAAATGTTTAATTCCTGGTACCCCTCCAATACAAACTTCTGAGCTTGTTTTCTACCTCACCTCTTCATGAATTACCTGCTTCATGTTTAAAAACTAAATGTTTTCATCTGACCATATGGTATTTAAATTTACTTTGAAAAACGCAGTCAAAAAAAAACCCCTAGCAAACTCTTTAGGTAACCCGCTACATGAGGTCATCCAACTTCATGTAAACTAGTATTAAACTCTGTGTAAACATATTACTCAACCTGTTTCGCACGAAAGTATCACATCTGGTCTGGGACATTTTAAAGGTTTCACAATGTGTTTCATAATATCGGTTCATACCCTTTCTTAAAAGCGATTGATTACTTAAAACTTGGAGAATGTTTTCAACAATAAACAAATAGCTGTGCACCTTTTAAAAAATAAAGTATGTAATAAAATGGAGGGCTATCCATGATGCGCTGTAGCCAATAAAGCGATTTACTATGTACGATCTTCCCAGTTTTGCTTTTGAAGTCTATTCGTCATATGCACAGAAAAAAAAAAAAAACTTAATGGCTAACTACACACATTTCAAGTCCGGTTATCCCGGTGGCAAAAAGAAAATATTGGTGGTTAAAGGGCAGTGGAGAGGGAGGGAGGCCGTCTTCATTGTTTGGCAGCTTAATTTTTTTCTTAAGACGCACGCAGTACTTTCGTAATTAAAGAAAAAAAAAAACTATTGAAAGGCGTACTTCCTCTTCCTTACCTAAATTTTTGTGATGAAAAACATAGCTACGATTATTTAATTTTTTAAAAAAAGACATAAGAAAACAAAGTAATTGGGAAAAATCTTGGATCTGCAAAATTACTCCCTCTGCTACTACTTACGGGTCCTCTGCCGGTTTTTGAAATATCCCAAGCCCTTCGACATGCACCACACTTAGCACCAACAGTAGTAAACGCTCCAACAACAAAAACAAAAAAGTAGGCAAGAAAATGCGAGCGCCTGCTCTAATCTCTTGAAAACCTTCCCAGCCCCCAAAGGCTTCCCCAGCTTACGTAGGTTGCATTCTTTTTCTCCACAACCAAAACAAGACAAAGTCGCCAGGTGGGTCGGGGAAGGATCTCAAGTACCTGGGGGCTCTGACGAGGCCGGCGACGGGGACCCTGCGGCCCCGGAGCCCCGCACGGAGCCGCAGACCCGGGCCCAGGACGCGGCCGCCGGCCTCCCGCGGGACCCCCGCCTCCCGGGCCCTCTGCCCCCGTCCCCCGACCTCCAGGCCCGCCAGGCCCGCTCCGGGACTCCTGCCGGCCTCGACCTCCGGGTCTCCGTCCCCCGCCTCCGCCCCGGAGCCCGTCGCGCCCCAAGCCGCCCACCCTGTCGCGCCCACCTCACGACCCCGAGCCCGCGGACGGCGGCGTTACCTGTGGCACGGTGCTCGGTCCGGACCGCCACAGCCGGCGCGCCAGCTGGGCGCGAGGACTCGACAAGCTCCGCGGCAGCCGGCCGCCCCCACCACAACACCGCCGCTGCCACCGGCCGGGGGAGGGGCGGGGCGCGGACCCGAGACGGGGGTGGCGGGGGGGAGTGGGGGGGGACGCAGCTCGACCGTCCCAGCCTCCAGAACCCCGGCAGCTGAGCATGCGCGAAAAGCCAGACCGACGCGCCGTGCGGACTCCGAAGTCAACAAGGCTGGGGACGCCCCCCGACTGACTCCGCCCCATTCTGGTTTACCCCGCCCCCAAACCAAACAACGCGAGCCTTGACTGGGTCCGGACAAGCGCGGAGGGAGGAGATCCCGCGAGAATTAGACCTGTGCGCCTCCGCCCACTTCCCCTAGTACGGTGTCCCGCGAGCGTTCTGGTGGAGGGCTAGTAGTTTGTGCGTCTCGCTAGGTGCTGGTGGTAGAGGCTCTGTTTTCAGGTTTCTGCTTATGTTCCTGAGCGAGATTGCCCGCGTGTCGGTGCGTTTTCGAAGTGCTTTTCTTGATTCCGAGGCGATCCCCCGCGGGGTAATTATACAGAGTGCTCACGAGTTCAGCAAAAGAACCAAGTGTTTTTCTCAACACTGGGCCACTGTAAAGTGGCCTCTTAGAGTCCAGAAGTGTCGTCTTTCGGCCGTCATCAGCGTATCCTAGTCCTGCGCGCCCCACTCTGACTTTTAGGCCTCGCCTCGGTTCTTAGATGTGTACTCCGGGAGCCCTGCGTGCTCGGCCTGACTTGAGAGGGACACGGGCTTGTACGTCTCAGGAGTGAGACGGGCATGCATTCCACACTTCGAAGACATTGTGCCGGGCAAGCTTTTCGTCGTACTTAGCTTCTATAGCCGGTTAACCGAAGGAAAGGTGGTTGAGAGAGAATGAGAAGTAGAGAAAAGAAGGGCAAAGCTGGTCAGGCATGGTGAGAAAGCACTGTCCCTGGCGGTGGACATCGTTATCTGTACTTTGATTCCTACAAAACTGCACATAGTTTTTTCCAGCGGGTTACAGTAAACATGAGAGGCATCGTATCACTCCTAAATACTGTAACTTACGTCTTACTTTTTTTTTCTTATTCTGTAGTTTTGTGTAGTCATCTCCAAATCACAAGGAGATTGGAGCGTGATAAGCGTGTATTGTTTTTCTCATATTCGGTTTTGCCTTTTAGCTGCATTTGCAGTGATTGAATTCAACACCAGATTCCCTAAGGTGGAAAATTAAAATAACCTTTGGTGCCCAGGTTACTGCTTCCCACCATAACTGATCAAGTGAATCTTCAAATTGCAAAATAAAAATTTAAAAACAAAAGGACTGTTAAAGTGGCGGCCTGTCATTCAGTTCAACAGCTTTACTTCATTTGGGTTTTAAGCATGAGTGTATATTCAGTTGACTTTTATCTTTGAGGTGTGCAAAATCACTATACATCTGCCTCCTGAAGACAGACCTGTGGGTTACAGATTCACTGATCCTCATTTTTGGCTCTCTTGCCTGGGTCCAGGGCACTCCTGTGATGGAATCATGTAACAATCTTAAAGATTGGTTTTCTGCTATATTAAGCAGAAATTTTAACATACGAGGCCTTAGGCAAATGGTATTCTAAATTAGAACTCAAACTGTTTTGTCTTTCCCTTGTTTTTTCTCTTTCACTTTATAAATTTTTCTTTTTCCTACTATAGGAATTTCTCAAAGGTAAGCCTTTTTTCTTTTACTGAATTAAATATGACTGCAGTTTATTTTTAAAATAAAGCTCCTAGTAAGTAATTTGTTCATAGAACCAAGTGCTACTCTTGAGTAGTTGAACTGCATACAAGTAATCAAGTTAGCAGCTCTGTCGTGTGGTACATACTTTATGGTACCACACACTTCCATTTTCGGACTGTTTATGACAGTCTCTATTTAGCAACTTTTACATAGAATTTACTTCTTACTTCTTGTGAGTGTGTGTATCTTCCACTAATCTGTTACCCATGAATGGTAGGTGCATGCCTAATGAGTCACTCTTCACCTCCACATCTGACAGTGTCTACTACAACATTTGGTACTCTGTGTTTGTTGAATGAGTAATTTAAATTTTAAATTATTCTATCATCTAGAACTTTAAATTCAGAGATTTAGCCAGGCGTGATGGTGCACTCCTGTAATCCCAGCACTTCGGAGGCTGAGACAGGAGAATCATTTGCAAGTTCAAGACCAGTCTGAGCTACAAAGTGAGCCTAAGGCCATTGTGAGACCCAATCTCAAAAAGACCAAAAAAAAAAAAGGTTAGAGATTTATTTAGACCTTAAAATAGCCTGTGATTTATTCCTACCATAAACTTGCTGACCGATATGCAGCAATTCTGTTGCTAGCAACAGTAGTAACACTGTAATAATCAAATTCTTCATATCGAGTTGCTTCCATTTTATTAAGCAGAAAATACCCAAGTTCAGTGGAGCCGTTTGGCACTGTGCTCAACATGTTGTGTAGGCAGAACCAGAAATATTCAGCTACTTAACTGCATGAGGCATTTGACAAATGTTTATTACGCTGACTGTATTCAACAAACTACTCTTTGTTCTAGGAGGTCACCACGCTCATGGGCATGACATTTAGCATTGTTGCAGCTTTTCTTCAGCCTTGGAATTGGAGGTGTCCATCTGTTGCCCTCCTTAAAACACCCCTTTCCTAAGTTCTGTGTTATTCAATTATGCATGTTGTGATTTGTAGACAAGTCTAGACTGGAAAGCTGGAGTTTCCTCATGTCTATCACATGAACTGCAATGTCTGGGGAAAACCCAGAACTAAAACCTACTAAATTTGGAACTGGTTTATTCTGAAGTTTGCTTTCTTTGTACTATTTCAGTTAAGTCCTTCACCTCATCTCAACCCCCCAAGAAACCAGTTGAACAGAAATACTTTCTCTCTGAAAAGGAATTAGGTACACTATATTCTGTATTTGAAAACAACACATCAGCATTTCTTTATTAATTTTAAGAAAAAGATTTAGCTTGAATAACCATAAACTGGGTGGCTTACAAACAACGTAAATTTATTTCTCACCATTCTTAAGGCTGGGAAATCCAAGATCAATGACCAGCAGCTTCAGTGATGAAGACTCATTTTCTGGTTCAGAGACAACAGCTTCTTGCTGTGTGCTCACATGGTCAAAGAGGTAACGCACGTCTCCCTCCAGCCCCTCAGTGCACCCTTCTTTCAAACTGCCACACTGGCAATTAGGTTTCAGTATTTGAGTTTTCAGAAACAAAACCATTGAGAATATAGCATTCCTGTTTTCTGCAAGTACAACTAGAATTTGAAAATGGAGAAATCTTAAGATCTTTGATTCCAGAGAAATAAAGATCCTTTTATTTATATAATTTATAAATTCAGGAAAGTAAAGGTGACCTTGGAGCTGACAAAAACAAAAGGGATCTTCTCATTTCCTGGCAATCTTTATTAGGACTTTTAACACTGCTTCCTGGGTATTTGCGTTGTACTGTTTGTCATTTACGTGATTACTTCACATATTGAGAAACTTTCCAGTCAAAACTCTGGCTCAGAAGCTCTGAGGGCATTAAAGTAGCCTTTCCTTTTGAGAAAAATGAAGAGTCTTTATCAGTGTTTCGTGAAGTCTGGTTTGGAACCAGAGACAGGAAAGAATCAGAGACATATAAATCCTTGCTGCACAGCACATACGAACAAGCTCTCTGGATTATTCCAATATACACTGAAGGCAGAGGACAGTACTTAGCAGGGATACTCCTTATTTTCCTACAACATACACAAATGTCAAATACGAAAGTGAGTAGAGAGCAGATTTCCTTTTGCACAAATTCCTCATTTTAAATACTGTTAATACCTTAGTAATTCTTGGCTAAGGAAACTTCACTCACTGTTGGTGGACCAGCTCCACTGTTTCTTCTGTGAGCTTTTCTCAATGCTTTGGGCACAGTGTGTTTTTGCACTGCTGCAGTTGTGGTTCACTGTCAGAGATGCTATTTGTGTTTGTGGTTATGACCAGAAAGACTGCACAAACACTTCTCTCCTGCTGGAAGGATGCCCGGAGTTGTGTGCCTGTTGCTATCACTGTAACATTTAGTAACTGCTTTTTGTTTTTTCCTTTTGAAACTATTTGATCAGAATAGTAAGTTGGTAGTAGTCTCCAGTAGTTTCCTAACATTTCATAGCCATTCTGTATTATCTGAAATTTCATAATACTTCCCAAAACTGTAACAAACTTTATACAGTTCTCAGTGATTCTCAAAAAAAATAACCTAGACCCACAAAGAGTGACTCTTAAAAAGCATGCAATATACATAAGTATACATACCTCCCTGTAGCCAGAAGTCTATACCATTACCAAAAGTATTCACCGAAAAATACTGAAAAGCATAAAAGTTTAATTTTTAAAGTTTGTTTCTAACTTAAATTTAATAACTGTTGAAATCTAAATAGCAGATTGTATGTACAACTAAAACTAAAATTAGGCTTTCCCCATGTTATATAAGCTTAGTTAGTCTTAAATGAATACTTCAGAAATTCCTTTCCTATTCAATATAAAAATGAAAAATGTACATACACCATCCAATTAAAAATTCAAATTCTAATGTAATATAACTAATATGTTGTGATAAATTACATAATACTGTCTGCAGTTATGGCTGTTGCCATGAGGCTGTGTTAGGCCTCATTTCTTAGTAAGGATTTACCAAAAAATGCATCTGGTAAAAGATCTTGGCTACTAACTGCTGCATCAACTCTTTCGCTCTTACTGATGGAGACCTATTCTACGTAAGAAAAAATGCAGATAACCCCTTTGCTCACTGAAGATGAGAGGTTACAAGGTTTACTTTTTCGAGTTGCTTAATACTGTCATATATTAATGTAAAATTAGCCCAAAGATATTTAAGTGCTGCATAATAACCATTCTGTTAATAAGTTCATTAATGTATATAATAAATTATGTGAAAATAGGAAAGGATGAGTTCCCACTTCATGGAGGAGAAAATTTCATTTATAAAATGATTCAAGTCCTTGGATTATTGAACATGCTGTATTTATATGTTTTTATCCTGTGAAGCTTATGAATTAGGTAATTTCCTATACAGAC